CTATATTTCATGAGAAAAATGGTTGAAAATACAGGGGATTGTAAGTCGGGCGGTCGTAAGTCGGGGTCGCCTATACTCTTGTAAAACGATGAAGAAATTTATTTGATACAAACAGTTTTACATAAACCCTAGTGCTGACCAGCATTAATTATATTCCTGATCTTAAAAAAATCCCAAACCAGCCTTCCCATCCTTTCCTAACCTTGTCCACCATTTTTATTTTGAACTTTCCCTTATTTAAAAAAAGATTACATTTAACAGAGGCCTGTCCTGAATTGGCCTTCTTTCTGATGGGGCAGGAGGGCAGAAGTATCTGCTGTTTGCTGCCTGACTGCCCACTTCCGGCTCCGAAGGGGATGTATGGCTGATTGGTCAGTTCGTAACTCCAGTGTTCGTTCCTTTACAGTTCTACTGAGATGCTTTTTGAGCACATCGTAAGTGTTTCTTTCCAAGTGTAGAACAAAACCATTTCTAGCACATGTGGACTTTTTCCTCCAATGGGAACAATTTTCATTTCACCCTTTGAAAATGATCAAAATATTTTCCAACGTATCCTTTTTCCTCCCCGATATTTTTAATACCCTCCTTTTCTGATCCTTAACCCTACTGTTTTCCGTGATATCTATAACATCCCTAACCATTTTTCAAAAAAATTCCAGTTCATATTGCTTTCCCTCTAATTTTCTTTTCTCCAGTGTATTTTACAGTGCATTTTCTCCCATAGATGCTGCCTTGATTAGCCACTGATCTGGGTTTTCAGCCAATTTGCCCACATTCTTCACTAGGGAATAAAAAAAAATAACTATCTAATAAAATTATAGTCCCAATTTTCATTCCAGTATTTTTGCTTATTTTTTCCTCCCAAATGGTTTTGCTGATGATTTGACACAGCTTTGAGAAGCTAGCCCTTTGGCGCAGTTAGTGACTAGAGAAAGTACTGATTGAGAACTCTTCTCGGTTTCTCCATTTGAATGTAATGTGATGAGTTTTTTACTTTCCTCTCCTCTATCTGCCCCAGACATCTCAGTCTAGCTGCAAATGACACTTCCCCTGTTCTCATGGCCTGCCTCCTAATTCCAGTTTTACGTGCTATTTCCTTACACAGATAAGATGAGCAATACAGAGCACATATCCAGAGCAGCTATTTTACTAATCCTTTCCTTAGGCATCCAAGTATGATCTTTGTGCCATGAATGATCTGTTGTTTCCAAGGAGTGGAGATCAGTTATGACCATGGTCTTTTCTCTCGGGTGTATTTCCTGAAAGTGACTATTAATGTTTCACACACCATAACATACAGAAAATATTGATGCTTGGAGCACCATCAAAGATGGAATTATAAGGGTCCCACTTATTAAGAAAAAGTTGAAGTTATCATGAAGGTGAAAGCACAATTGGAATTCCAGCTGGCAAAAAATGTGAAGGGTAACAAGAAAGGTTTCTACAGGCATGTTAGCAAACAGGAAGAACTGGAGGCCCTGGCCCAGTCCAAGAAATATGATTTAATTGGGATAATACAGACTTGGTGGGATGACTCGCATGATTGGAGCGCTGTCATGGAAGGGTATAGACCATTTAGGAAGAACAGGCAGGGGAGAAAAGGAGGAGGAGTTGCACTATATGTAAGAGAGCACTATGATTGCTCTGAACTCCAGTGTAAAGAGGGAGAAAAACCTGTTGAGAGTCTATGGGTTAAGTTCAGAGAAGCAAATAAGAGCAGTGATGTTGTGGTTGGTGTCTACTACAGGCCACCGAATCAGGTGGATGAGGGTTTCTTCGGACAACTGAGAGAAGCTTCCAGATTGTAGGCCCTGGTTCTCGTGGAGGACTTGAATTACCCTGACATCTGTTGGGAAACCAACACGGCAGTACACAGGCAATCCTGGAAGTTTTTGGAGAATCTTGGCGATAACTTCTTGGTACAAGTGCGGAAGGATCCGACCAGAGGCCGTGCGCAGCTTGACCTTCTGCTCAAAAACAGGGAATAACTAATAGGGGAAGTAGAGATGGGTGACAACCTAGGAAGCAGTGATCATGAGATGGTAGATTTCAGGATCCCGATCTAAGGAAGAAAAAAGAATAGTAAAATACACACCTTGGACTTCAGAAAAGCAGATTTTGACTCCCTCAGGGTATGTCTACACTACAGCGCTAATTCGAACTTACACATCTAGACCTAAAAACTAATTCAAATTAGCGTTTTGCTAATTCGAACTAGCATGTCCACATTAAGTGGACCCTGAACCAAAGATAAGGATGGCCGGAACCAGTACTGGCAGGGCATCAGGTTAGGGCTTAGGGCGTGGAGTTGCTGCCTCAGGCTAGCCAAGGGCTGTGCTTAAAGGGACTCGACCCCCACCCCGGACAGACAGTTCGATTTAAATTCGAACTAGCGGTTTGCATGTGTAGCGCCTGTTAAAGTTCATTCAAACTAACAGCGGTTAGTTCAAATTAACTTTGTAGTGTAGACATACCCTCAGAGACCTGATGGGCAGAATCCCCTGAGATGCTAACATGAAGGGCAAAGGAGTCCAGGACAGCCAGCAGTATTTTAAAGAAGCCTTATTGAAGGCACAGAAAGAAACCATCCCGATGCGTAGCAAGAGAGGCAAATATGGTAGGAGACCGGATAGGCTTAGAGGGGAAATCCTTGGTGAACTTAAGCACAAAAAGGAAGCTTACAAAAAGTGGAAACTTGGACAAATGACCAGGGAGGGGTTTAAATGTATAGCTTGAGAATGCCGGGGGGTTATCAGGAAGGCGAAAGCGCAAATGGAATTGCGACTGGCTAAGGATGTGAAGGATAACAAGAAAGGTTTCTACAGGCATGTTAACAAGAAGAAGGTGATCAGAGAGGGTGTGCGGCCCCTACTGGATGAAGGAGGTAACCTAGTGACAGATGACGTGGGGAAAGCTGAAGTACTCAATGCTTTCTTTGCCTCTGTATTCATGGAGAAAATCGGCTCCTTGACAAATGCTCTAAGTGACATAAGATGGGGTGAAGATGTACAGCCCGTGGTGGGTAAAGAACAGGTTAGGAACTATTTAGAAAAGCTAAACGTACACAAATCCATGGGTCCGGACTTAATGCATCCGAGGGTACTGAGGGAGTTGGAAAATGTCATTGAGGAGCCTTTGGCCATTATCTTTGAAAAGTCATGGAGATCGGGAGAGATCCCGGATTATTGGAAAAAGGCAAATGTAGTGCCCATCTTCAAAAAAGGGAAGCAGGACGATCCAGGGAACTATAGGACAGTCAGTCTTACCTTGGTTCCTGGAAAAATCATGGAAGGGATCCTTAAGGAATCCATTTTGAGACACTTGGAAGAGAGGAAAGTGGTTAGGAATAGTCAGCATGGATTCACAAAGGGCAAGTCCTGCCTGACCGATCTGATTAGCTTCTATGATGAGGAAACTGGTTTTGTGGACATGTCAGTGGATGTGATAGACCTTGACTTTAGCAAGGCTTTTGATACGGTCTCCCACAATATTCTTGCCAGCAAGTTAAGGGAATGTGGCGGGAGCCTAGTCACAGGGCAAGAGCCAGAGGGAAGGCGGGTGGCTTTCAAGGAGCTGGCAGCCACTTTACCTGCTATAGCACATGTCAGCAAGGAGCCAGGCCAAGAGATCTCTGTCCCAAACCTCCTCCGCGTGGACTCAGCTGGGAATCTGGGAAAGCAGTGGATGTGCTCTACCTCGACGTTAGCAAAGCTCTGGATACCATCTCCCACAGTGTTCTTGCCAGCACGCTAAGGAAGTATGGCTAGGGAGAATGGACTGTAAGGTGGCAGAAAGCTGGCTAGTGACGACAACTCAACGCCCGTTTGGCCTCTGGTATCACACGGAGTGTCCCAAGGGTCAGTTCTGGGGTTGGATTTGTTCAACATCTTTATGAATGACCTGGATGAGAGGATGGATTGCACCTTCAGCAAGTTCGTGGATGACACTCAGCTGGGGGGAGAGGTAGATACACTGGAGGGCAGGGACAAATTGGAGGATTGGGCCAAAAGAATTCAGATGAGATTCAACAAGGAAAAGTGCAGAGTCCGGCACGTGGGATGGAAGAATCCCATGGACTGCGACAGGCTGGGGACCGACTGGCTAAGCAGCAGTTCTGCAGGAAAGGACCTGGGGGTTACAGTGGATGAGAAGCTGGATATGAGTCAACAGTGTGCCCTTGTAGCCAAGAAGGCTAATGGCATATTAGGCTGCATTAAGAGATCCAGAGAAGTGATTATTCCCCTTTATTCGGCTCTGGTGAGGCTACATCTGGAGTATTGTGTCTAGTTCTAGGCCCTCCACTACAAAAAGGATGTGGACGCATTGGAGAGGGTCCAGCGGAGGGCAACCAAAATGATGAGGAGGCTGGAGCATATGACCTATGAGGAGAGGCTGAGGGAGTTGTGTCTGTTTAGTCTGCAGAAGCGAAGCGTGAGGGGGGATTGGATACCAGCCTTCAACTTCCTGAATGGGCTTCCAAAGAGGATGGAGAGAGGCTGTTCTCAGTGGTGACAGATGGCAGAGCAAGGATCAATTGTCTCAAGTTACAGTGGGGGAGATCTAGGTGGGATATTAGGAAAAACTATTTCCCTAGGATGGTGGGGAAGCACTGGGTTGGGTTACCTAGGGAGGAGGTGGAATTTTAAGTCCTGGCTTGACAAAGTCCTAGCTGGATGATTTTGTTGGGGTTGATTCTGTTTTGTGCAGGGGATTGTGCTCAATGACTCCTGAGGTCCTTTCCAGTCCCAGTATTCTGTGATTCTCTGATTCTGGAGTTTGTTTTTCATAATTCATGCCTCTGGATAGTGTCAGGAATGTACAGTCTCCTTCACCTAGGAGAACAACCTCCATGTCTCTCACATTCACATTCTGTTTCCATCCAGGCAATTGCACTGTGACCATCGCTCTAGACCCCGGCACATCCAAAACCACTGCAGAGCATCTGGTTCAAGTAAGCAATACTGTTCTGCCTCGGAGTTGAATCGCTTCTCCCCCACTTCATGGCGGATCCCAACACAACCGCCTTCACCAACCCCTCCACCTTCATCTTACTGGGCATTCGTGGCCTAGAAATGAGCCATGTCTGGATCGCCACCCTCTTCTGCATCCTGTACTTCATCGCCATCTTAGTAAACTTTGCCATCCTATATATTGTGAAGACGGAGCCCAGTCTCCATGAGCCCGTGTACTATTTCCTCTGCATGCTGGCTGTCACCGACCTGGTGTTGTCCACCAGCACCATACCCCAAATTCTGGCAAACTTCTGGTTCAGTTCCAGAGAGATCAGTTTCAGTGCCTGCCTCACCCAGATGTTTTTCATTCACGGCTTCTCAGTGATTGAGTCTGGGATCTTCGTGGCAATGGCTTTGGATCGCTATGTGGCCATCTGCTATCCCCTGAGACATTCCACCATCCTGACAAACTCCGTGGTAATGAAGATTGGCCTGCTCATTCTGTTACGTGGATGCATCCTTGCACTGCCCTATCCCTTCCTGGCGAGGCAGTGGCCGTATTGCAAAACCAACATCATCATCAGCACTCAGTGTGAGCACATGGCTGTGGTGAAACTGGCCTGTGGCAACACCCTCATCAGTAGTTACTACGGCCTCTTCGTACTGTCCTGTAGGATCGGTCTGGACGTGTTTTTCATTATTCTGTCCTATATTCAGATCCTCAGGGCCATCTTCAGACTTCCCACAAAGGAAGCCCAGCTCAAGACTTTTCGGACTTGCAGCTCGCACATCTGTCTCATATTAGCCTTTTACTTCCCAGCTATATTTGGCTCCCTGGCATCCCGTTTGGGCAGCAACTTGTCCTCTCATTTCCACGTTTTCATTTCCAGTGTCTACCTCCTGGTTCCCCCCATACTTAACCCCATCATCTACGGTGTGATGACTAAACAGATCCGGGACAGGCTGCTCCGGCTCTTTACCCCTAAAGTAACTAAAGTTTTCTCCTCTCATACAGCTGCCTGTCATACAGAGCTCCCTGGAGTGTTGGCCAGTGACATGGTGCTATTTCCTGGAACACTGACTGGCCAATCAAAGAAACTTTAAATTCTTTGCTGACTTCACTGTACTATCTCAGTGTGACACACTGGGGAATCCATCTGTGCACAACTCTTAGAGTTGCCAACTTCCTAACTGTAACTGGATATCCGAGGCCCTGCACTTGTCCTACCTTTTCGACAGGGTGTTGCCCCATGTCTTTCCTTGCGTCCTGAACTACTTGTCCTTTAAGGCCCCACATCGGTTGCTTGTTCCTCCTCTGCCCCCCATCACCACTTGGATCATCCTTCCAAGATGCCACCTGGAACTGAGGTCCAGCTGGGCCTTGTGTCTCACCTAACTGGGTTGCCTCTTGCACTGTGAGGTGGCAACCTGCATAGACCTCCTAGATTGTCTCACCTGACCAGTAAGAAGGTGTTACCGTGGGCATTGCTTCTCCAGCGGAAGGTGGCTACACAGCAGCTCTTGTTTCTGGAGCTCAGAGCACAGTCAACCTGTGGAACTCCTTGCCAGAGGATGTGGTGAAGGCTAGAATTTTAACAGGGTTAAAAAAGAGCTAGATAGATTCATGGAGGTTAGGTCCCTCAATGGCCATTAGCCAGGATGGGTAGGACTGGTGTCCCTAGCCTCTGTTTCTCTGGAGGTGGGTGACAGGGTGGGGTCATGTGAGGATGACTTGTTATGATCCCTCCCTCTGGGGCACCTGGCATTGGCCACTGTCAGCAGACAGGACACTGGGCTGGATGGACCATTGGTCTGACCCCTTCTGGCCGTAGTTGGGACCTTATGAGCTGAGGTTTTCCTCTTTGCACCTCATGTAACGTGCAGAGTGATGTGTAACATTCAAAAGAGAGATTTTCAGGGAGGGCAGGTGACAGCAAACAGATGAAATTTGATGATGATAAGAAATAAAACAAACCCACCATCTCATTCCGGTTGGGATGTGAATGGAGCAGCGTCCCACCCAGGCAGAGAGCACACACGGTTTTCTTTTCTCAGGAAGGCTTCCTTTTCGCCCAGCACGAGTGTAACCCACACAGCTCTGGGAAGGGGTTCAATGTCCCATGTAGTAGCGCTCAGACCACTTACAGGCAGAGAGATAAGGATGAGCGAGCGCTATGGCCGCGGGTTCGGTTCCACCTGCAGGGGGTTACAAGTAGCACATCTGGAGCTTAGTGCATGATCCTCTACACCAGGGGTCTCCAACCTTTTTACACCCAAGATCACTTTTTAAATGACAGACCAAGCCAAGATCTACTGCCCCGCCCCTTCCTTGAAGCCCCTCCCATTCCTTGAAGCCCCGCCTCTTCCTTGAAGCCCCTTCCTTGAAGCTCAGCGAGGGTGCACCACACTCCACATGGGCTGGCGCAGAGGAGAAGCTGCCTGGCCAGCTGGCTGTGGCCTTCAGCCCGGAGGAGGCTGAGCCATGTTCCAGCTGATCAGGCAGCTTCCCCTCTGCACCTGCCCACGTGGAGCTTGGTGCACGCTGGCTGAGTGCCATGGCCAGCTGGCCGGGAAGCCGCTTCTCTTATCTCCTGCCCGACTGCCCTGCGCTCAGCCCGGGAAACTTTCTCCAGCACAGCTGGAGCCTGACGCAGGCCAGCATCCCTGGACTGAGCGCAGGGCAGCCGGGCTGGAGGGAAGAGAAGCAGCTGCCCGGCCATCTGGCCATGGCGCTCAGCCAGGGAGCACCAAGCTCCACGTGCGCAGGCACAGAGAAGAAGCCGCCGATCAGCTGGAGCACGGGGCAGCCTTTTTCAGCTGAAAACCACAGTCAGCTGGTTGGGGTGTTTCAGCCCATCCAACCTCCCAGCTCCCACCATTCCTCGCAGCTACTCACCTGTGTTGTTGCTCGGTGAGTAGCTGATCCTCAAATGAGGAAATCTAATGTAAATGTACTGTGCAGGCGCGCAGTTCAGAGAGGGCTCAAGAGCTACTCTTAGAGCCCCTGAGATCTATCGGTAGATCGCGATCGACTGGTTGGTGACCACGGCTCTACACCATGAGCTATAAAGCCGACAGGCTCTCAGGTAAGGCTGTAGAAGTAACTCATTTGTATCTCTCTCTGTAAGTGGTCTAAATGCTTCTACATGGGACAGTGATCCACATCCCCCAGGTGTATGGGTTACCTAAATCATAAGAATGGCCAGACTGGGTCAGACCACAGGTCCATCCAGCTCAGTACCCCAGTGGCCAACAGTGGCCAGTGCCAGGTGCCCCAGAGAGAGTGAACAGAACAAGGAAACATCAAGTGATCCCTCCCCTGTCATATATTCCCCGCCTCTGACAAACAGATGCTACAGACTCCATTCCTACCCATCCTGGCAGATATGTATTGAAGGAGCAGCTCTCCATGAAATTATCTACTTGTTTTTTGAACCTGTTAAATTCCTGGTCTTCACAACATCCATTCCCAAGGAGTTCCACAGGTTCACACTGTGCTGTGTGAAGAAAAACGTCCTTTTGTTTGTTTTAATTCTGCTCCCTCTTAATTGAATTTGGTGACTCCTAGTCCTGCTGTCATGGGAACAAGTAAATAATTTTTCCTTATTTGCTTTCTCCATACCAGTCATGATTTTAGAGACCTCTATTACATTCCCCACTTAGTCTCCTCTTTTCTAAGCTGAGAAGTCCCAGTCTTTTTAAGGCATCCTCAGTTGATCTGGACAAATGAAGGTTAGCACCTCATGTGACTTGTCTGTCCTGCAGATGAACGTTGACTGATTTTTCTGTGGGTTAGTGGCCCCCGACTCCAAAAAGGATCCCTACTCGTGTCCTATAGAAATCTAATCCTAATGGGGTGCAAGTCTCGATTATCTTAGTATTATAATGAAATAGAAAAAGGAAGTAATATGTTACAGCTCACTGCAAGATTCCTCAAAAGAATTCAGATGAGAACTCTGAGCAGTTCTCAGTCTCTGTGGGTCCGTCTAGACTGGCAAATTTTTCCACAAAAGCATAGCCTGTCTGTTTGAGCACCAATTTATAACTTGGATGTGCCAGACTTCCCTTCCCTTCTCCAGTGTTGAAAAAAAAAACCCAACAATTCCCATAGAAAGTCACTGGAGACCCAGTGTTCAACATAACAAAACCATTTGATAACCCACCGACATTGTCTTCACTCTTCCAACAAAGATGAATTTTTAAAAAACCCAAACGGAAAACAGGAACAGGTCAGTCCACACAAAACATGGTAAGGAGAGACTGAGAGCACCCAAAGCTTTGGTTTACTTCACCTGTGTCTCAGGGAGTGTTTCTGATCCCCAAATCTGCACCATATGCTGAGTCTGACCCATCACTCCAGTTATAGTAAGATCCTCATTTGGAGTCGAAGAAGCATTTCGCCTGCTGCGGATCCCGGCCAGCCAGCCAGCTCACTCAGTAACCAGACAGATCGGTCACCAAAGCACAGATTTACATGAAACCCGCCTTCCAGAAAATACGCAGACTCGGAATATGTTCCTTCCCGGTTGCTTTGTGTAAGGAGCGGTTGTGGACTTGCACCAGCAGGGACAGACAGGCTACATCTACACTGGCATGATTTTCCGAAAATGCTTTTAACGGAAAAGTTTTCTGTTAAAAGTATTTTCGGAAAAATCGCGTCTAGATTGGCAGGATGCTTTTTCACGAGGAGTAACGGTAGTTCGGAGTAGGAACCTAGTCCGAACTACCTAGTTCGAGCCCCGTGTAGCCGCGCTGCACGGGGTTCGAACCAGCGGGGATTTAAAAATGGCGGCTCCCCGCTTATGCAAATGAAGCCCAGGAAATTCAAATCCCGGGCTTCATTTGCAAGTGTGGTATGCCTACATTACCCTCCTAGTTCGAACTAGCGGGGTAGTGTAGACATACCCTATCATTCTTCTGTGCCAAGTTAGAGAGATGGGCTGCGTCTAGACTGGCAAGTTTTTCCGTAAAAGCAGCTGCTGTTGTGGAAACACTTGCCAGCTGTTTACACTAGCTGCTTGAATTTCCACAAGAACCCTGACTTTCCTACTGTCTGAAATCAGTGCTTCTTGCGGAAATGCTATGCTGCTCCCGTTCAGGCAAAATCCGTTTTGCGCAAAGCATTTGGGCAAAATGGCCAGTGTAGACAGCTTAGATTTGTTTTGCGCAAAAAAGCCCCAATTACGAAAATGGCGATCGGGGCTTTTTTGCGCAAAAGCGCGTCTAGATTGGCACGGACGCTTTTCCGCAAAAAGTGCTTTTCCATTAAAAGCATTTGCGGAAAATCATGCCAGTGTAGATGTAGCCATGGAGTTTGGGATGCTTTATGGTTTTCAGTGGACACTTGGAGTCCATCAATGGCGTTTCCCTCAACGTACGTCTGGGGGATGGCCTGTAAACAGCCCCTTTTGTCCTTAGTGTTGTTACTCTCTTGCCTCTCCCGTAATCCTTTTGTGGGTTGGTTCACACAATGGCTGTACCTTGGCTTGATTCGGTTTTAAGAATCTTGGGGCAGGGCCTGTTTCATCCTCCATGTTCGTGAAGGGCCAAGCCCAATGGGCCCAGAACGGGAGCGGGATCTCTGGAGGCTTCCACAATGCAAATAACGATTATAAATAAACAACACAACAACCAGCTAAATCAGGGCCTCGCACCCACCCTCAGCCTTTAGATACAGACGACGATCAAGCCATGCTTGGCAGCTACAGAGTGTTAGGAACCTGAGGACTGGTGGACACAACATCCCTGTTTGACTTGGACAAGAAAATTCTTTCGGTCTCCTTCCAAGGGTTAAACACCAACATGATAATGCATCAGAGAAATACTCCAGATTAGCCAGAGGAGCAAGCAGAGAGTCCAGCTCTGGGAATCCAAGTGCCCTCCAGCTGGAGTTGTCCTGGAAAGTCTGACTCAGCCTGGAAAGCCAGCTTTTAATTGAGACTGGGAGGGAATGAACCAAGAAAGAGAATAAATCCAATGTAAACATGATTCTGGTCTGTGTTCTTCGTATGGGGCCCTCCTTCTGCCAGGGCAATTTTGCGGGGTGGGGAGATCTTTGTCCACAGGACAGGTTCCCATCTCCACCCCTTCCATGGGGACACCCA